CAGCATATTGAGCCATCTGAAAATTTGGGCGAGGTGATTGGTTGAACTTCAGTTGGGGTTTAAATGGTTGTCTGGTATTTCGGTGGATGGCTCACTATCCCGGGCCCTCATTATTGCGCGGAATACGTTATGAGCCATGAACAGCAGAGGCAGCGAGTGATTCTTCATGAAGGATTCAAGGGATTCTAGGTGAAAGGTGAAGAGCACTCGGAAAGTGGACGAGTATAATTTGCATGTCCCGAGGATGGCGCAAGTGCGCAGTTTGTTTGCGCCCCGTTCCCCCTCCAGTCCACAAAATTGCGCGCCACTTTACTGTACATACCAAGCGCCTCGTCAGCGCCGCACTCAACCCCTACCCCCCAACCTGCGCCAAAGCCCGCGCACAGTAATACGGGCGCCGCACTCAACCTTTCTACCTTTCTACCCACCGCACTCATTTCCACCTCTATCGTATCCACCACCATCATTTCCACCATCGTCCTCCTCCACTACTCTCTTCCTCTCAATTCTTGTCCACAATCCATCCTTCCTTCCATCTCTTCCCTTTAAAATTTACCCTCTCCAAAGTCTCTCCTTCGAAACCGGTTCCTCGACTCACTATCCAATTCACCTTACTGCCGGTTTTCGGATTATCGTTGCCGAGTTTATCATTCTCTAATAGCGTGAATATGTTAGTATATTTCATCCTCTTTCTTGCCTCCTTGATCACTTCCTTGGCTCTTGATCCTCTAGGTTTTTCCCACCACAATATATCTTGCTTTTATTGACAACCCTTGCCATACATCTAGGTCGCCCAAGAGAAAGACCGGAACTAACATGGATACTCCTTCGAAAAACAATTATCAGGATTTGGATACTGCTCCAGAATACTGCTCTGTGCCCGGTGGGGGTGCCCCGTTTCAGAGGGGGGCGCATACCCAGTCCGTCTCCCAACCTTCTACCTTGGCGCTCCAGGAAGCATCGCGCGACGCAGAGACCTTTGGCGACAACGCAGATGTTACCCCGGGGTATGGCTTGAGGCACGAAATGCCATTCGATCATGGATATTATCAACCAACCGAGGGAGCGGGTCTTCCAACTCCGAGCGGTTGTTCAACTCAAGCGGGAAGTTCTCCCGGTCACCTCAATATCCCTGGTTCTTCGCCTATTTTTGCGGATACAGTCTTGAGTGAAAATGTTCTGAAGAGGTTTTTATTTGCCAAAAATCAACGTCAAAGGCCTATCCCTGCACCGAACGCTGAATCTTCGGGCCTTGGCGGATATAACCGCCCCACTACTGGTACTTCTAAGGTCGGAGACTTCGTGGGTTGCGGTGCTGGTGCGATGGTCAATGAAAATGCGCGTTTGGAAGATACCTATGATCAGTTCGGAAATCCTCTTCAGGGCAAAAGTAGCAGCCAATTTCAAAACATGAATCCAAGTTACAATACGCCTTCTGGTTCCTCAAAGTAAGTTAGATTTATTATCTCATTACCGAGTCCTTTCCCCATCAAAGCTAATTGAATGTGTAATCTCTCAGATACATGGCGCCGACACCGAGCTCAGCATCCCCGGTTCCGCCCTCTTTTGAGCCCCATGGATCTGGGGGACACGGAGTTGCTATCAAGGATCCGGCCTCTTCCCCGTGTAATAGACAAGCTCCCCCTTTCCCCCTTCCCGTGGGTCAAGATTGCGGCGAAGGGAGCAAGTTTTTGACCGAACAGCTTATACCTCTCCACTCTTTTTCTCCCGAGAAGCTGGTCCCACACTACACGACTGATGGCTCCACATCTTCGCCCCAACAGCATATTCCTTCTAAGGAGCAGCTTGGCCCCATCGTTATTTACACAGGAGGAATCTGTCACAGCGGTGCTGCAGGCGCTTATCAAGAGCTACATTCCGTTGAGCGCGCTGGAGAGATGGCAATATCTAATTATTTCAAGCCCAGCCTCCAGGAATTTATTGCAAGACAAAGCGCCAAAGCACGTCCCAGACCCTTCCATTGGCGGACCCAGTGCCATTGGGCAAAGAACTTCACAGGAGAAGGGCTAAGAGGTTGTCGCTATGGGCGTGGCTGCCTCTACGGACATGATGGTGATGTTTATGAGGATAACCTGAGTGTTTACTACACCTTTGAGAACGGCAGAATATGCCCAAATTACGTTTCACCGGCAACACCGGGTCCATCTCTTGGTGTCCAAGTACCTTGTTCTCCTTCGTATGTGGTTGCGGATACAAACCCTCAGTCTCAGGAATTCAATGCTGGGCAGAGTAACCAGGAATGGGGAGTTGCTAAAGCCAGCCACCCGCACCACCCCACTGGACACTCCTACGCCTCGAAGAGGAATGCCCCTGCGCTTCCACTTACTTTCCGCTTGCCCCATGCGCCTCAGCACGAGGTATCAGGCCACGATCAGTTTGTGTCCCACGTACCTCAGCACGAGATGTCGGGCCACGACCAACTCGTCCCCCACGGATCCCAGCACGAGATGTCGGGCCACGATCAACTTGCTACCTATACACCTCAGAACGAGATGTCGAGCCACGATCAGCCTCTTCTCCACGTATCTCAGCACGAGATGCCGGCCCACGATAAAGTTGTTCCCTATACACCCCAGAACGAGATGGCGAACCGTGATCAGCTTGCGATCTTCACCGGAGCTTCTGTCACTGAGGGAGACTCCCCATTCCGTATTGAGCCTCTTGTGAGAGCAGCCGACTATCTCGAATATTTGAAATGGCTTGAATCTCACACAAGCGGCCGTACTGTAGTGGGTATGGTGCCATCGAATCTAGTGAATGGTCCTGGCCATGCATAGGTCAATCAATGCCGAAATGAGCCCATCTGTATTAGGCGGGAGTTCCTTGAGATGTCGGTGGCCACCTTTGCGAGTTCAGATTTTCTAGAATTTTACCCATAGTGGCATTTTATTTATTTCTTTCTTGCTTTTTTTTTTTCTTCTTCTTCATTTCTCATTTCAGAATTTCCATCCTTACCCTGACAAATGGTCTCTTGTCCGAGAGTATTACGATGTTCCCCGGGGCTGTGATGGCTATTCTGTAAACTAAAAGTGGACATGTGTGGGGTGTTTTACCTTGCTTCGGTTTTTCTCTGATTTTTTTCTTTTTTTTCTTTTTTCTTTCGGTGGCATAATTACATCCCGAGTCTGTTTTCATTTCCGTCACTCGATACCATTCCCCTTGCTCTGGATACCACCTGTATTGTCTGTTCTTTTCTGCTAGCCACTATACATACATAGGCTATGAGGGAGGACGTTGTGCGTTGAGTTCTTTTTCCCTTTTGCTTTTTCCGCCGAGGCCTATTCTTATTCAACTACTCCCACCTCTCGTCATTCATATTTTTGTTTGTTTGTTTTTTTTTTTTTTTTTTGTATGTATGTATGTATGTATGTATGTATGTATGTATGTATGTATGCCTGTACGCCTGCTGTAGCCACTAACATAAAAATAAAAATTTGGCTCTCAGAAGCCATACAAAAAAAAAACAATAGTTCTCTTGTGGTGGGATTTATTTTTAACATGTGATGGGGTTGGTGGGGGGTTGTGCAAGGAGACCTAGGTTGTAGGAAAACTGGTTGCTTTGAGTTAACCTAAAATTTTTGGACACCCGGTGTATGGCGAGACCAGGGCGGGGTGTGTTAAATGTCAGTTTTCAGAAGGGAATCCTGATCGACCCATCACATCAAGTCAACCACAAATGCTGAGAGTCAAGCCAAAAAACCCCACCAAAAATTGTAGTTTTCAACAATTTGAACATTCTTGAAAGATTATCCAATATTGCTTACAAGGTTAACGTTAATTCACTATACATTGCTCTCCCAATGCTCCCCACTTTTAACCTTATTCTCAAGTAACTACAGTCTGCAAGTTTCAAGAACTGCTAGGTTCTCGAACCTTTTTGCTTGTGTAAAAATGTGCTGCAAGCATTACGACTAGAGGTTTCTGGATGAGGGTTGTTTTTTGTGACTCTTTTCCAGTGATTCTATATTGATGAAAAAATTATGTGCAACGCAATAGATTCTACAGCCATCTGGATGCCAAAAGACGTCCTACACCTAGGTCCTCGCTTTCAAACTCTCTGTGTTTACTACCTACGAGTTCGGTGTCTTCTTTCGGCGGGGATGGGGGCCCGGGTGTGGAACTGGTTGCTCGAGAGGCTTGTTCACTTGCAATCGCACCTGAAGAAAGTAAAAGCTAAAAAAACATAACATGTTGGACTCGAAGACGCAGAAGTGACTGACTTTGTATGTGAATTTTGCTCAAATCGCCACTATGGAAGTTCCTCCAAAACCAAACTCCCGAATTTAGCCCAAAAAGAGGCAAATACAGAATAAGGTTCCATATGTGATGCCACATACACTATCCACAGACCCATATGTCCTCAACCTCTCCAAGAATGCATTCCGGCCCCACGGTGAGTAAGTGGGTATCTGCTGAGAGGGAATTGTAGAAAGAGCGGAGGAGATTGATCCCGTGATGTATTTCGTCTTCCTAATGTCAGGTGTTCATTTGTACATCTGATCCGCTTCCCTGTCCAATACGTTATATGATAGTAGGCTACCTCTCAGTACCATTTGTATCAAGGTTTCAAGGTGTATCGTATCACACCAACCGAAATTGATCCCATCCATCGCACCCTACCTAGGAGAGCCAGGGCTAGATAATCAGACCCGTACAATACTCGAGTATCATAGGTGATCTGGTGCAACATGTAGGGTTTAGTGTAAAGAAATTTGGGACCCACAATGGCCTGATTGGGATAACCAACGTCATATCATTATCTTGATTATCGGGATCTGGGATAGTGGGGTGTGACTGTGTCCAAAGTTTTCTCTTGGCAGCACCGTGTTTGAAAATAAAGTCCCTCCTTCATTGAACGACCTCCATCTCAAACGCCACCTTGATCAAACTTCTTTGGCTCGAAAAAAACAAACACTACTACCACCACTACCCCTTATCCAACGCATCGAACTCTATCCAACCGCCAGTGCTCTTGCAAAATGAGCGATCAAACTTATTATTACGAGCTCTATCGTCGTTCCTGGTACACTATAATTCCTTATCGTCATCTTTGCTGCTTTGCTCCTATTCCTACTGGTGCTGTTAGCTAATGAGGTGTGGGCCATAGTATTGGAGTAGCACTTATGGATTCGCTCGACGATATGATCAGCAAGGGGAGCATCACTCCCCAGCTCGCCTTGAAGGTTCTGTCGAATTTTGACCGCAGCATTGCTGAGACCCTGGCCAACAGGGTTAAGGCCAACTTTTCTTTCAAGGTTTTATTTTATTTCCCCTCTCTCTTGCTTACTTCCCTACCTGGCACAAGATCGCATGAGCAAGCAAAAAAAGTGTAATGGTGGGCTAACCGGTGTGGATCCGTCTGTGGCTGTGCGGATTTTTAGGGCCACTTGGACACTTACCGATTCTGCGATGATGTCTGGACCTTCCTGGTTACAGATGTTACTTTCAAGTTCCCGCAAAAAAACAAGCCGACTATTTCTACCAACAAGATTAAAATTGTCTCGTGCAATTCAAAGAAGCCTGGTGAGGAGTAAATGGTGGATCGAATAGGTGTATGAACGGAGAGATGTCCTAAGGGGCCGGACTAGTGGGGGAGCAGGTATGGGTAACCTCCCAAGGAGCGGCGGAAGGGGAGGGATCGTCGGATAATTATGGTTTTTTTTTCCTTTCAACTTTGTGGATATTCTCTGTCTCCTCACATCGTTTGTATTGATTCATTATTTTGTGCTCACTATATACAATAGTTGGAGAAGCAAGGGGCGTTAACTACATCAAAGCTTTCTCGATTTTACACAGTGGGTTGATAAAACCCGTGGCCAATTGGGCAAAGCACATGGAAGTAGGTAGTGCGGCTAGGCGGCGTCGCGGGACCATGCGGAAGAAAGTATATCTGGTTGCTGGGGCAGTGCGGGGTCATAGTTCCACGACAGAGGACTCACCAACTTCCGCTTTACCTACTACACCTTCTAGCTTCTCCCAACCCAACGATCACCATTCGTCCTACAGCTCGTGTTCTTTATTGCCTGCCCACATCACCACCTTGACCACATGCGCCCTCATTGCCGTATCAGGACTTATCAGCGCTAACGATCTCCTCGAGTAAGGGCAGCGGCGCCTCCACCAAGATCTTCGACAATGCAACACAAGACATCGCACTCGGGGAACATGGTTTTATTGTTTTTCTTTTGGCGTTACTTGTTTCTGGTTTTGTTCTTAGTTTTCTATTAAATTGTTTTCCATCTTTTCAATTCAGAATATTACCTTTACAAAATTAGTCTCGCATGAGATACTAAGGGGCGCTTCCAGAGGCCTCAAAAGATTCTGTGACTACTTGTTCTGCTTATAGCTGGCCTGAGACCTTCATCCCAATCACACCGAGCCCCCGGTGTTCGCGAAAATCTGACTGGAAGTTTTTGCTTGCATTTTTAACCAGGTCAAAGACATCAGTTGATTCCGCTTTTGCCTATTATTTTCCTCCTCCCTTTCCTTCTCTATTTCTTCCACCACCCCCTCCGGCTTATTATGGATGCCTCATTGTTGCTGGGGAGAACAGATGGGGTAGAAACCCTGATCAGATGTCCGATTTGATAAGTTCTACTGCCGGATAATAGCATGATATCAAGGTTTCAAAAAGTGTGGTAAAGGTGGATACATTTTGGGAGGGCTCCCCTTGAAAAGAAAAAATGGTCCCTAAATAAGTTGAATACATTAAATTTTTAAAGACCCCTTGTTCAATTTCTGTCAGATTTGAGTTTTTTTTTCTTTTTCTCATCAGTTATAGTACGATACAACAGAAGAGAATTCAAGTGCTTTGGTTAATTTTTCCACATATTGTTGACCCGTCAGGTGGGGTTCGTACCTCCTATGATACAATACATTGAACTTGAAAGTTGCATAAAAAGGTTGATCTGTTGGGAGAAAGGAATGCATGGTCTTCATGATATAGTACCACATTTTCACTCTTTATAAGTAGAGGGTTTGCGAGACACCTAGATTAGTATACATTTTAAGCACTTTTCATGGTATCGTACATACCAACAGAATGTTAGGGCACTGTTTGGCACAACGGCGTTTGAGTGGTGCGCGTTGCCAAACACCTAAGGAAAATCGTGAAGGTTGAGGCTAGGGAAGGATAAAATTAATAATCAGAGAAGAGGTTAAATCCTAATTAAGCAACATTAATTATCATAAAACTGCTGTTAAAGTAAGGTAGTTTATGAACTAAAAGTTGCCCTACATATAAAAGGGGTTGTTCCTAAACCGCGGTTCTGAAAACGTAGAAACCACTATGTTACTTGGAAACAACATACGGCCAAACGCTCCAATCTATTCAGACATCCTGTTGCCAGACAGGGCCTAAGATATGTTTATGCATACGGGAATTACCCCTAATAGTCGAAAATTTTTATGCCGGGACGAATATGATTCCAGGTTCTGAGTTCGCAGACCTCACCGCACGGTAGCGATTTTCAAAGAAGAACGCTCCCCTAAGCACCGTACCACTACACCCAAGTGTCGAGGAAAATGCGGGCTCATGCTGTATATTTCCCAGGTGGTCGTTGTCGACTCTTCTTTCCCGACAGATATCATTGGCATTTGGCCGCTACTATGCCAAGCAAGGCTGTGGATAGGTAGGGTAACCCGCGGTGTCCGAATTGAGACTTTCAGGGAGAGCACCCAACGAGATGGGTCCCTAACTCGGGAATATTGCGTGGTATCTTGTTCCCTATTTTATACTTGTTGACATATATGTGCTTGTGTGCACTCAGTTATGATACATCGGACATCGTTAATTCACAACCCCTTCCAAATCTGGTCTTTCTCACAGCGAAACCTACCTTCTATTCCTTCCTTCTTCCATTTATCACTACTACTTTTCCGGCTCTAGATGTTCCTATCCTCTTGGAGGGATTTTACAGCTGAATGTTTGGGTCAACGTTTATTGCATTCAATGTTCGGCGGGGAAATCGCTACGCTTCAACCCGGGCCGAGGAAAAAATTCTAAATCCGCCGCCTTGTCCATAGAGCAGCGGTATATAGAGGAATATAGCTGGGGTAGTGGTGTTTAAGGCATCGGACTGATTGATCGCTGTGCAGCTAGCAAGGAACCAGAGTTTGTTCTCTCCCCGACCGACAGCTTCTCTTGAACGATCTCTCATAATATAGAGCAGGAATATCGAGTGGCCCATGGGGACTGGAAAATTGATAACCTTGGCTCCCCTCGGCCAGGCTATAGTACCAACTTGTCATGCTACGAGGTGGTAGAACCCGACTGGGACCTCATGTCCGGAGGTGAAACTTGCGACCGGGAGGGGGGGGTGGTGGAACCCCTAGTATCGGAATCGGCCCTTGATGGTGATTACTTACTCCCGATATACACCTTCACAACTCCCCCCTTTAAGACTTTTCACATTTTCTTGAAAGGAAAGTAATATGCAGTTACCACCAGCATAAGACTTAAGGTCGGTCAGAGACTCCAATATCTACAGTGCAAGCTCCCGCCAAGAATTATCCAGGACTCCTCCTTTCCATTCGAAACAGCCCCACAGGGTTCGCACGCTCCTCACAGTGCATTGGCGCTGTACGGTATTCTTGAGCACCCACCAGAGCCAGGCATTTCGTACATACCAGCTCGGTAATTCGTTATCACAATATATCATATGGAACCACCCACGGTACTGCCACTAGTCCTCTGAGAACACGATCCTAGTTCCCCGGAGGATATGGTGACACGATAGGTGTTGGATATATTGGTTTTATACTTGCACCACTCTTAAGTTTGTACTTGACAGAGTATGGGCGTATGCGATGGAGGTTCCGGAGTTGGGATACACTGCTCCTTAAAGATCTCTCTCAGTGTGGCCAAAAAACCCACCATATTTGATACCGCCTTAACAAATTTTCTCCAGCCCTGAGCATGGAGGGGTCTCTGATGGCAGTTGGTGTAGCGCAGTCCGAATAGTCACCCGTCGGTGATGGCAACTTGCGTAGACCTGAGGGAAAACGGACAGTCACGGGAGAGGAGAGTGTGTGCTCGTTGTTCAATAGGAGATATGGTACAGAAAAAAGGCACCGAGAAAGGAAAGAATGAAGCTCCGCTCAGTGTTCCGAACCGTCCAGTCCGTCCGTCTTGAAGGTAGGACCGGACGGACCGGGGGTGGTAGTCCGTCTTTTCCAAGTTCATGGGCGGACTAGGGCAGATGGAGGTGGGACCAGGCGCCCTACCGGTTCGATCTCTCCCCTTTTCAATCTTTATGATCGGGGGTTGTATTGCGGTTCTCACTCATTCCCGGCGGTCCTCACCCACTCCCGACCGCCATCAACGATTCCTAGCCATTATCAGCTATTCCCAGCAATCTCCGGCAGTCTCCCTCATTTTTTCCAACATCTGCCCGGCCGTCATTCCAAATACCTGCCGTCTGTGCCCCCACCCCCCACAGTCCTTCTCCACACCCTATAGTCCTTGCCTACACCCTACCGTCTTCTGATACCCCCTATAGTCCCCAGCCTTATGCCATCCTGGAATCTCCCCTGCCGTCTACCCAAACAGACTGTGTTCCGTGTCTCACTACAACAACGGTTTAGCCTATAGGGCCCGACAGTCCCACCCTATCCCGGCAGTCCCCCAAGTAATTTGCCCTACACAGGACTACAGCCAACGGGCCAGTCCGACCCCGTCTTCTTGGCATTATCCCCGTAGTCCTCGTGGGGCGCCTGGACGGTTCTGAACACTGGCTCTGCTACATGTTAGGGTGGCCAATTAGTCCACTTGGGTGCTTTTCCCAAAACAACTCTCCCGGGGCATCAGACCTCACTGTGCCCTAACTCTAATATTATCCCACGATGGGATTACTCCATCAGTCTCACCCCTTCAAGACATATTTGCTTCCAATACAGATTATGATACCCTCCCCCACTTCCACTCAATCACTCGCACTCGCATGGGAAGAGCTTACGTTCGTCTTAGATATCAGAACTCACACTCAACAAAGAGCAACCACTACCTAACAGCCGAATCTCCTAGGAATTTCGTGGCTGTTTAGCGCTGAAGAGGTTGAGGTGAAAAAACCCGATCCGATGGCTGGAACTGCAGATTCAAGAAGACGAAGAGTACAAATAAACAATTTAGTATCGCTTACTCAATGACACCCAAGCCGAAGATACCGCAGGCTCGAGCATACATACCATCTTAACTGTTTCTGAGCATCCTTTAGTATAAAACTGTTAAACAAAATTAGGCCTGCGTCATGAAACGTCACTCGATATATTCTCTGAGATTCTGGGGGTGCAAAAGAGTCGCCTGTGCGCTGGGGAGAAAGGGGGAAAAGTAGAAGGTTTCCAAGCGAAAAATCCCTCATCTATTTGGATCTGGAATCTCAAAAGTCAATTCGTGACCTATGATTTCGGAGGTGATAGTGATATAATCACGGTCGTAATATGATAATGTTATGATATAAGTCTGATTATTAATTGGCGTACAAACTGGTATGATAGCATGTATGCGAGAGATGTGCATGTGGACAAATAGGGTCTGAGCTATCGGGCATGTGTGTGAAGGGGAACTTTAGGTTACCCTCCTGTATTAGTTTTCCTCACTCTCTACGAGCGACCTTTCCTTTGTTTTTAGATAGACAACACATATCTCCCCTCTATTCAACCAGTCGAGGAACTGGGCCATCCCTTTTTACTGCCATCAGGAGAGAGACACAACTACGGAAATATCTACCGGAACCGACACAGTACGATGGCAAATCATCGGATGTACAGCTTTCTGACTGTGGCTCCCGCCCGGAAGATAGTTTCTCTGGGGGAATATGTTCTGTGGCGGTGGCGTCGGTTCCAACCATGCGCTAGGCCGGCTGAGCAACTGGCAATTATTTGGAAATAACATAGGAGAGATGTCCCTCCTGCTTTTTGCCCTCCTCCAATCTCTTTCGAGTCAAGTCCGGAGAAGTCTGAGGCATTCCGGTCCTTGAAAGGAAATTTTTAATTTTGGTTTGGTAGCATGCTCGCTGGTTTATGTGCTATGCTCACAGTCCATAACCCTATCCCTTTAAGGTGTGTGAAAGATAACCACGACCTCAGAGGCATCCATTGGCCATCTTTGTGCTTGAGTGAATGCTAGCCTCTTAGGAAATAATTAGCCAACATTTACCTTTGTTTAGCTATCAGTTGTATCCTCTATTTTATGGTAAACCCTTGAGGACGGAGCAAGGGTGGGGGGACCGTTGTAAGTAGGAGTGTGGTTTGGATCGAGATAAAAAAACATTTGACATGATCATAGAAAAAACAATTACATGTAACTATTTGGAGAATAGACAAGCAGATATAGAGACTTCCTACTCTAGTGTGTTCCCACATTAACGTCAGGGTGGCAACAACCGTCACATGTCTATCTTACACTTTCTCATCTTCTCACCCGAATTTTTGGATGAAAGTTTTTTTTTAACTTTATAGAATTCGTATATGAGCCTTAGTACTTAATAGCTCTTATTTGGTTTATGATTTTAAAACTGATATGATAGTTCTGTAGTTGACTACTCAAATATATGCTAATAATGTGCAGTGTGAGAAGAGGTCAGTGGGTTAGGGTTATGAACAGTCCATATAGCGAATGAACCAACGAGTATTAAAGTGTCAAGTCATTTGTTCTCTCGAGTTTTACGGAGTTTTCTTTATACTCTGCCCTGTGCCTGGTCCTATTTTTGTTTCTTTGTTGTTACTTGTCCGTTGTTTTGTCAATGAAGGTACACGGACGAGTCAGCAGAGTGACGGGTCGCGCTTGTAACGCTATTTTATGCCCATAAATAGTCGGTCAATTCCCGTCGCCGACTCCCGTTTTATTGCACATACTCTCCTCAATATATTCTCTCTCCTAATTATATTTATTCCTCCACCAGATATCCGAAAAAGTGCAATACAATTTTGGACACTCCCGGTCACTCAAGTGATAGTCCAGTAGTACGGCTGCTCTCGAGAGGGAGGATGAAAAAAAAAAAAAAACTTCTATGGAAAAGGCTATCTTCAGCGGTCAGTACAGTTATGGTTTTGAAAACCCTAAGGACTTTCCACTTTCTATCACATGGAATAGGAGTGAATACGAGCAATATACTTCTGGTGCTAAAGATTTCACTTAAGTCAAATCTATGTCACCTATCATACCGATGAACAACCACGATACCCACAACCTTTGTGGGTAATAAAGCGCAAGACATAACAGCAATTGTTGGCCTGAATCAGGCCGGATCCGGCTCTGGTTTTGAAGGGCTGCTTTCCTATGATTTGGCCCAGCCATTGCTGAGAAGTGTTATGTCAGTAGAGCAGTATACAAAGCCGGACAGACTGGCCACTTGAGTTAACCGTATAGAACTTGAAGGTTAGCAATAAGCCAACCTATAATCAAACCTGTTTATTGTTGAGGAAACCACTGCTAACTTTTTCTATAAGTCTTTTTTTCTTTTTGAGTTCTCAAAAATACATTGCCATTGCTATGATAATAGCAACAAAAAAAAGCACCGCCACTGGCCCAAAAACCCGCCACAGCGCTAAAAACACCGCCACTTTATCCAAATTGGGCTACTGAAAGAACTCTAATTACTACCACGGGCTAAACCCGGATACTACCTGCCAGCTATAAGTACAGGCACCAGAGAATCTTTCCTTCTTCCTTCCTTCCTCAATCAACCAACTCTATCGCACTCTACAAAAACACAATTCCTTCCATCAATATGATGACCAAGACTCAGAAGAGGCGTGCCAGACGCCAAAAGAAAAAAGCAGAACTTGCAGCCCAGGCTGCAACTACTCCAACCACACCAACAATTCCTGAAAATGTCGACCAATCTACTGCCAGTACCCTCCCCCATCCTCACCAAACTCAACTCAAGACAGAGTCTCAGGCAATTACACTTGATAGTACCAGTTAGTTATACATCTTTTGTCTAAAAAGAATATCACTTTTATTAGTATACTAACATACAGTATTACTACTAATAAAGATGCTATCTCTGCGAGTGCTGAAAATAGTAGTAATGTCGCAATTAGTGATGGAACTGGTACTTTATCCACCCCTGACTCAAAAATTCACAAACTATCGCTAACTTATTGCTCTTAACTGAAGAACTTCATCCTATCGCTAAGGACACAATGGAGCAAAATGGTTCCCACAAGCCTATTCAGAGTGAGTCTCGTACTACAGACTACACTGTTCACATGGATCGTACCATACGCATAAATGAAATGTATAGGGTGATGACTGAGGCACTCGGAATCTCGAAAAAGGGTTGAGAATGGATAACAGAACAAGGATACTGGGGAGGTTTATCAACTTTTCTGTTTCATTCCAGATTCTACTTTTCTGCTATATATAAACCTGTGAACAAGTTCTGTGTAATTTAGAACTGGACAGCAATCTAATTACATCGAATTTGACCCACAATTTAGTTAGTCTTTTGCTCTCAATAAGTGATAATCAGCAGTTATATAATCATGCCTTTTGAATGCATACTCATTGGTATTTTTTACCCAGAGCTCAAACACCTTACCATCTCAAAACTCTCAAAACACCTCAATTGGTGTAATTCGGGGCTGCAAGAAGCATGATACAGCTACATGTGGAGAAAACACATTCCATAAAAGAATAAAGTACTGCTATTTCTGGCTTGAGGAATCCAAATTGGGAGTATCACTCATTATATTCTCAACTGTACTCTTGTTGAATTCGGCATATTTTCCCTTGCACTTAACCGTTTTCCGCAGGCCTGATGCGACTTTTTGATATGCCACATGGGTGACCTTGGCTGGTGGAATACGCACAGCAGATGAAACAATTTCTAAAAGAGTTTGGAAGGCTTTGTGGGGTGGCATTGTGGGTAGCTTTGATTAAGATCCTAATTCTTCATTTCCCTCTGAAGTCTGCAAACTACTGACTAATTATATTTTAGGTGATGCTCTAGCTATTGACGGGAGCGGCGCAAAAGTTTCAATGTCCCGCCAGCCCAGGAGATAGTAACAAAAAATAGCCGAAATTTGGCAGAAAATACCGTATTCAAACGTGCCCTACGTATAGCGCGCTGGCTGTAATGATGGAGATAACTTGGACGAGTATCGACGATATATATATATATATCATATACGGTAAGTGGGAAATTCTAGCACCAGATACTATATTATGATATATCATTGTGATATGTGCTGTACCACTACCCTTCCACCTTATACCCGTATTCCATTGACCATAGAACTTTCCACACAAACAAGTATGACACGGTGTTCAATTTCCCCTACCAGATCACATGCACTGCACTACGACGGATGCTCCAAATTCACAATGAATAACCAATCCCCGCTCGTTCGCTCGCTCACACATTACAGAAACTCAAACGGTGAGAGTTTAATGGAAATTAACGATTCTTATTTCTTTCCCTCACCCCCCCACAATCAATGCACACCCTCCAATCCACTTCCCCACCCTCCCGCCATCCTCGAATCAACCAGCTCACCCACCCTTCATGTCCCCCTACTTCCAAGCGCGCAGAGCGTGCTCCATCCCAAACAGTAAGACTTTCTAAGAAGGATTTTTCTCTTGATGCGGGACGAGAAAATCCTGATAAATCTTCTAAAAGGTGTTTTCTGCAGCACCAGCAGCACTGGCAGGGCCGGTACCGTTTGCGCTTGTGTGAGCGACGGAGCTGTGGGAACATGAAAGAGGACGTATTCTCCCGTGCGGTGGGGCGCAAGGCGGGACGTAGTAGTTGGGTTTTCCGTCTATTGGGAACATTGCTTCCGGTGTGGTATCAAGTGCTAGTAGATGGATGTGGTGATAAGAGAGATGAGTGGGGGATTCTCATAAAAGGAGAGGGATATATGGATAAGCATGTCCGTTTTATTTTTAGCAAGCGGGTGTTCGATGTACTCCAGTAGTTACTCGCAGACCATCGAATACTCGAGTAGATATAACAAGTGCTTGTACGAGTACATGAATTCCATACTCTTACAACATCCGGACGTCACGCTCCCCACCGCATCCACTGTGCCTAAACTCTCAAAGCAACCTTCATCCCCTCCCCGACTCCCAAAGCGCTAGCCGGATTCTGTCCAGTGACTAGCTTCCCCCCCCTGCCAACACAAACCTTCGCTCCCCACGGCTCATCAGCCTTCTCATACTTTGCGCCATTCTTCACCAACTCCGTCTCCAGCATGAAGGGCATGAAAATGGAGAGGCCAGTTCCGTCCTCCTCCGCGTTTGAGAGCGCAGTCAGCGGCTCGCCGTCAACCAACAGCTTTCCACTAGAAAGCTCGACGTCCAGAAGCGCAGCACATCCATGGCAAACACCAGCTACGAGCTTATCCGCATCGGCGAATGCCTTAACGAGCGATATAACGGTGGGTGCGCGGGCGAGGTCGAACATTGCTATCCCCAGGGAGCGTTAGCCCTCTCGCACTATTCCCCCATTCGTGCATCGTTGAGGAGAACATACGCCCATGGCCACCGACAAAGTAGATCCCGTCGTAGTCTTCTGCGTTCAGGTCCTCGAGCTTGATAGTGTCCTTCCATAGCTCGCTCTTCTCCTCGAGGAACCTGGCCGCGATGTCCTCGGCCCCGAACTTCTCCACGCTGCCCTGGTCGAGCGGGGCTTCTCCCCCAGCCGGGGAAGCGACGGCGATGGTGACATACGGGGAGAGGACGTGGTATGGATGCGCAAACTCGGGCTTTTCTTGCAATCAGTATTCAATCCACAATGCCGTTTACCCGCTCCTCAAGAGTGGTAGAGAGAAATACCAGGTACCACCCAGTCGGCTTCCCACTCTCGCCAAGAACCTTTTGCGACGTAAGGACAAAGAGGACTTTCGGTGCCATTATTTTGATTTTTTCCTTTTTCCTTTTCTTTCCCGGACCTTTTTTCGTCAATCTGATAAAATTCGCTTCTATCTCATCGATAGCAGCTTTCTTCCGCAATATCTCCAAAGTAAGTGGTCATATGGGGAGAATTTAAACATGCTCGAGGAGTGGGGTACGACATTCGCGGAGATCGCTTGCGCGATTCGTAAATCCTAGTTCGACCCCGGATTTGTTCTCAGTCGTCCACCAGTCATTATGCTGAGATGACGGAAACGGAAATCGAGTGAGATAAGGTAACCCACGGTGATTGGGGCGATTTAAAAACCCCACTCATGTCGCCGGAATTAGCCATGGGTGACCAAGCACAATTTCTGGTGAGATTCTACCTGGCCCACATTAATGCGACAATGGTGAGGGGCAATTAGAAGCTCGAATACAGCGGTCCATCAGGAAAAGCAACCCTGAGAGAATCTCTATCCCCCCCCCAAATTAGTCAAACCGGAGCAAATACAACCACCGGATCAGACACCTGGCCTTCAATCCAGAGCTCACATCAAAGGAAATAAGCTATCCCCTTCCATCTCTTCACCGAGCAATGGAAGATTCATGTCCCTGGACGAGCTCGTTGTTGTCCATCACTACATAGTCCCCAACTCCGCACCACCTTTTTATGCGTGATTCCCGCATAAGACATGAGGGGCATTGAACCGGAGGCTGGAGGCCGGGCCTCGCACTTGCTAGTTGAGATGAATGTTCCGCAACCTTGCACAGGAAAAGACTCGGTGGTGAGAGTAAAGTGAAAAATGGGTAGAAGTGATGGACCAGATTCTCCTTCCACGCGAATACCTATTACCATTATCAAAAGCCTATTCCTATCCATCAATATTTCTTTTTTTCTCCCAAAGTTGGCCGTTACGATATGCTACTCGAAATACCGGCGATGCATGGCTTTCCGGAATCTTCCTCTCCCCGTGGGATATGGCGGAGTATACGCCAAACAACTATACAGTATAAGAACTCAGGACACTCTGGAACATGTTCATGAGCTGGCGCCTCCGCCGTGAACGATGGTAGCAATAGAAAGTATATGCTACCCATCCCGAATCAATTCTGCAGTCACTAGATACCCCAGTGGTTGGGTTGTTTGGGTGGATGGTGCGAGGATAGTGAATTGGGTGGAAGCATCTCGGGTGATCCCCTCGCTAAAATGAGTTTCTCCTCTCTCACCACCCACCCCCAAACCTAGGAACAAATCCGGCCTTTTGCCAGCCGTGTAATTTACCAATCAGCTCTTATGTCAAGCCAAGACCAGATCTAATAAGTAGTAATAACATAGGTTTTATCACAGATTGCGATGACTCAAATTGGTAACCTATTAAGTATTAAATTTTGTAAATAAATTCAAACAATACCTTTTTACTAACAGTAAGAGGTGACAGAATTTCAGAACCCAAGTCTGCTCTCAAACCCTCATTTAATACACAAATAAATCAGCAACACTTCTGGTTCAATAATAGGTCAAATTACGATATGGAAGATCAATATGGACAAGTTGCCAATCTATCATCTTCTGAACATGATACACACCCAGAGAGGTCATATCAATATCTCCAACTCCATGCTCGCAACGGAAACATCATTTAGGCCGGGATTCCAGGAGTCCAAGTGACGAGAATCTACAAAAAACATATGAGGGGCTTAGGGAATTGGACTTCCTAGGTGTAAAATTCTTATCGGACTTTTCACTGAGCTTGGATTCTCTTGGTATTGGTAGATAAGATAATCACTGATGGGTATCGTATAGTATCATACATGGGTAGCAAAAAGCCGGATTTGTTCCTAGGGCTGCTCAGAGAAGCCGGTAAAGCATACCCTAGGTTTCCTAGGTTGACCCACCCCCAGACTAGCAGCTACTGGAATGCACTTACCCTACTTATTAGGGAGGTTTTGCTGCGACGGTCGTCGCTTGGATCGTGCTAAAAGTCTCGGCAAAGTTCAGTGTGGCAACCGGTTTTTTTTTCAGGACATTTTGCGGCGACTGTCGTAACTTGAACTCAACCCTACAGTTAAGTTAATCCTTGAGATCTGCTGTACTTAACTCTTACCAAACCTGTCCACAGTCCTACATGGATATCAGAAACAAAGCCTTTCACGGAAAGGTAGTCTTGCTTTTTCTCCTTCTGATTGCTCGCATTCATCTCATTCAACAAAGGCGAGTACGATTGCAAGTGGAGTCTGAGCGACAAGGGCGACTCCAGCCAAATCCATCTCTGTCACGGCCAATATCTTACCAGCCTCAAGTATTTCTTCTTGATACTTGTGGATGGAATGATGTTGACTTTAGAGAGTATTTCCAGTATGTTTTCTGACTCAGATATACTTTGCCTAGTACAGGGGTCAACGAGGACTATGAATTAAGGGCTAACAAGCTGGTGTTTAGCTTTTCAAAGGAAGAAATACGACGCTTACTTCCATGCCTGCAGTTAGAGCGAGTCCAATGGCGCTACCGCTTCCATCCACATCCTGAAGAAGCTTTATGTATCCTACTCTACCGACTCTCCTATCCATACCGTTTGAAAGATTGTCTTAAAATCTTTCAATACTCGTGCACAAAGCTCTCGGTCATTTTTAATGACACCATCACATATCTTATTTCAAGATATGCTGAGACTCTCAGGTGGGATAAAAAGCGACTTACGATAACTACGCTTCAACAGTATGCACAGGCAATACAAAATGCTACAGGATTGAATGGAATTTGGGGCTTTGTGGATGGGACTATGAGACCATTTTGTCATCCGGGTGAAAACCAAGGTACTTTTTATTCTGGATATAAGAAGTCTCATGCATTTAAATTTCAAAGTATTGTTTCTCCTGATGGTTTAATTTGTTCTTTGATTGGTCCAGTTCCTGGACCAGTAGGAGATTGGATAGTATGGAGATCTTCGGAAATTGTGGAAATCTTGCAGAATATGTTTGAAGCAAGTGGGATATCAGAATATGAAAGATTGTATGTATATTGTAACGTGTTCGCAAGGTGCTAATCACGTTATCGGTAATAGATACGATAGTTGGCAGGTGGCCTGCTCTTCCAGAGAGGAGGCGAGAGCTGAGAACTAAAGGAGGCTTCGAGGGTGTACTGGGGAACAAAGAAGTAACCGTTCAACCAAGTATATTGAAATACTGTCTGTCGAAGTCTGCCTTTTCTATTGTAGAAACAGGCGGTCTTTAAATACACAAATCTGTTCATGTTTTAACATGAACGAAACTAATCAAAGGTATCAATCGATACACTTTGGCAAAATTCCTTAAGTATCAAAGCGATACTTAAAACAAAACATAAAAAAAAACCAAGTATCAAACGATACTTAAAACAAACCAAGTATCAAAGCGATACTTAAAAAAAAACATAAAACAAAACCAAGTATCAAACGATACTTAAAACAAACCAAGTATCAAAGCGATACTTAAAACAAAATATAAAACAAAACCAATAACCAAGTACCCGTACCGGTTACATTCCCCAAAACAAAACAAGTGTTTAAACAAACAACAACTAATAATCATCAAAAGTGGATTCCGAGAAACTCATGGCTTCAGTTTCTGCAAGAAATTCCTCATTATAAGTATCACACCAGGGGCAGGAAGAAACCCTAAGTAAACACTTAGACTCAAAGAAATCTAAATCACAGTAGTCACGAATACCAGATTTGTGCTGTACATCAACCCAAGCGTGATCGCTATCAGGACAGTAATCTATCCAGAGGATTTCGAAATAGTCCTCAAGTTGGATAGCATCGCGGTTCAACAACAGTCCAACAATCTGTTGTCGCAGCCTCACATTGAGTTCCACATAGTTTGACATTGTTATGCTATTTGGATGGTGACTGGTGACTAGATAAAGTTGTCGAGAGCCTGCTCCATAGCTTGATTCTCCTCATCGCTGCTTTCAAACTCCTACTCAAAGTGTGGTGCCCAAAATCCATCTCTAGTTTCGAGTTCTGCGTGCCATCGCTCAGTTTCTGGCATTGTAGGTGTCCAGCACATGGTGATATAATTGATTGTTGGGGGTAGGGATTCGTTTGGCATGTTATCTTTCCACTATTCATTCACCATATCCATAGCGTGCTCTAGTCCCTCTAGTGGTTCCCAACTGTTTTCGGTCGTCGGATATCCTTTCCATTTGACTAGGAACTGATCATTTCCAGGCCAAAGGTGGTGGTCTCTGATTTCTTCTACTTTCCATTCATCCTTCTTATCGATGATGATAGGTGCAGGCCGAGAGTGGGTTCTTCCAGGAAACTTGGAGTCGTCATTTGGATGGAACCGTTTGGCAGCAGAGGCGTGGAAGACTGCAGTATTGCGGCAGTAAATGTGTCCATCCATCTGGACAGTGTAGTTCTCTGTATGCTCGTCAAAGGATATGACTTTGAAGGGTCCGCGCTATTGGGGTTGCAGTTTCTTGCTGCGTCTGACATTGGTAATGAACATGTTACCGTGTACCATGAGCATGTTTCCCAGTGAGATGGGGACATGTTTGCGTCGTCGCTTCTGGGCAGTAGTGGTGCTTCGGAATCGGGCAGCCTTAACAGCTTGGAAGGCATCGTTCCGAATTGCTTGGTGGCGGTTTAGATGGTCATCAGAGGCAGGGACTGAGGAGTTCTTAAATAGTGTTGTAGGTAGGAGGGGGTATTGACGGCCAAAGACTGCCTTGTATGGTGACATTCCCAAGGTATCTGAAAATCTAGCATTGATATATGCCGTGAGCTCAACAAGGGCTGGTTCCCAGTTGGTTTGTTGTTCATTGATCATATTCCTAATTCCGGTCTTAACCTTGCGGATTTTTCGATCTGCTTGGCCATTAGTCTCATGGTGTCCTGGGGCAGCCATAATGTGGTTTATTCCAAGGGAGGTCAAGGTTTGCTTCCAGAATCTGGCGGTAAAACGGGGATCAGCATCACTGACAATAGATAAGGGGTACCCGTGGGGGGTAAACAAGTATGGTTGTAGGTTATTCCAGGTGTCTTTGGAGGAGTCGGTAACATTCATTGGTATTAACCAGGGGTATCCAGAGAATCGATCCACAGCTACCAAGATGGTGTCATA